TATTGTAAATAAATATGAGATCAGTCAGCTAAGATATCAAATAAACCTTTATATTGTTTACTCAGTAAACTAATGTCTTCTTGTCTATTTATAGTGTTATAAGATAAATGAATATAAATCATTTCCGAAATTAATCTCTTACGATAGTTAGACTCTCTATCTAAAATTATTGTGTTGTCCCAGTCAAACGAATGTGTAGGATAATTTTTTAAATGCATCGGAACCGGAAGAGATTTATCTAAAGGTGTCTTCCTATGCTCCTCTATGCGTTTTTTTAAACATCTCTTAGTTTGACCAATATATACAGACGGGCAACTATCACAACAAAATTTGTATACTACATTTGTCTCATTCCATTGTTCTGTAACATCTTTACTCAGTTTTATTATGTTGTCCAGCTTATGATTAATTAAAGGTATACAATGAATATTAAACTTTCTTAAACTATGTTTACATAAGTTAAAAAATTTTTTATGAAAAGGCAACGTTAAAACCATCGATTTGATATTCACATTTTTTCTATCATCCTGAGTAGCACTACTATTCCAAAATCTATGTTTACGAATGCGATCCAATATACATGTTTTAACAAATTTATCCGGGTAATCATTATTTTTTAAAATGCTCTTAACAATTTTTGTTGTGAAAAAATGTGAATATCAAATCGATGGTTTTAACGTTGCCTTTTCATAAAAAATTTTTTAACTTATGTAAACATAGTTTAAGAAAGTTTAATATTCATTGTATACCTTTAATTAATCATAAGCTGGACAACATAATAAAACTGAGTAAAGATGTTACAGAACAATGGAATGAGACAAATGTAGTATACAAATTTTGTTGTGATAGTTGCCCGTCTGTATATATTGGTCAAACTAAGAGATGTTTAAAAAAACGCATAGAGGAGCATAGGAAGACACCTTTAGATAAATCTCTTCCGGTTCCGATGCATTTAAAAAATTATCCTACACATTCGTTTGACTGGAACAACACAATAATTTTAGATAGAGAGTCTAACTATCGTAAGAGATTAATTTCGGAAATGATTTATATTCATTTATCTTATAACACTATAAATAGACAAGAAGACACTAGTTTACTGAGTAAACAATATAAAGGTTTATTTGATATCTTAGCTGACTGATCTCATATTTATTTACAATATATTTTTTATTATTTTATTTTGATGTACAATGATGCTTAATGTACCGTTTTCATGCATAGGAGAGGGGATACATCTGATTGTGTCTACCGGTGGTTTGTTTTGGTATAAAAGGCAACAGACACTGTTTTGGTTTGCATTATTTCATAGTCGTTGTCCGATTTGAATTTTGTGTAGTTGAGCGAATATTATGTTTGACAGTGTATTTTTGACTTTATTGTGATATTTAATTTGATTGTGACTTGCGAATTGAGGTAAATGTTTTGTTAGCGTGATTTTTGTTTGTTTTTGGTTTATATCTGTTATTGTAACCATTTTCTCGTTTTGTTTTTTTAATAAAGATCTGATGAGGTTGGATATTTACCAACGAAACACACGTGTTGTAACCTGAGATGATTGTTTGATTATTATTTTTTTCACAACGGGTTGGCTCTAAAATTGGTTTAAAAGAATTTTGCTTAACAAAATGGAGAGTGTCAAGAATAACAAATCCACATCTATTCATTTCACTGCATTGCACAGTAGCGAAGTTAAGAGTTAGGTAAATAGTGCAAAGAGGAGTACGTAATAGCGCGTCAGTGTTCGAAACTCATTGTACATGTGCCTAATTTCAAAGATAAATTTTTATTTCGTTAGTAGTTTTAAGTTATAAGTGCATGACCTAATGGTTATTTTGATGGTCATTAATTGTGCACGAGATAATTACATAAATTATTATTTAATAAATCGGCTCAATTTTATACCACTCCAATTATTTTACTTATTCCAATAACCTGCTTCCTCTATCTACCCAACCTTAGATATTATTCAAATCCCACAGAGAATAAGAGGAGTTAGTAAATATTTTGAGCTGGACCTTCTCCGACTGTTTGCTATCAAGGTAAGCCACGACCCAGCATCAAAGTGAGCTTAGCCGCGGATAAGTATCGCGGATAAACAAATCTATACACTTATTGATTCGCGAATAATATTTTGTCAGCTTCGTAGTTCAAGGGGATTAACCTGACGAAATATTAGACTGCTCTATATAAAATTACTTACAGTGTGAGTTAAAATTCTTAACACCAATCATTATTATTCAGGGTGGCACTCCCCTGAAGAATTAATTATGCCTAATTAATTAGTAGTGCCTGGCGCCCAATAATCTGATAAATTAATTATCGTAACTTGTAGTTTATATTACGCCGAGTACCATGGTGATTGTTAGTCGGCAAAACACCATGTTACAATATATACAGGGTAGGCCATTTTACGTGGACAAGTAGATTTTCTTGGAAACTATTGGAGAGATAGCGAAATATTTTTCAGACAAAAGTTGCTCAATTTCAAGGGGGTCAAATTCCTATGACTTTACCTTTAACCTTGGAGGTCATGTTCAAGGTCATTTGACGGTCAACTTTGTTTTCTTACATGGGAACCCCTATTATTGACCTCGGATTCGGAAAGAGCGGGAAATTCTACCCAATTTTACCCCGCACACACGACGCCTAAACAAAAAATTGGGTAGAATTCCCCGCTCTTCCCGAATCCGGGGTCAAAAATAGGGGTTCCCATGTAAATAAACAAAGTTGACCTTATACATCCGATTATACCTTATATATACGATATTATACCTTATATAAAAGAGGGTCGTTTGAAAAGTTCGTGCAAAGTCAGAGAGATGGCGCTACTAGTGCGTATCAAGGTTATTTTCAGTTAGTGGCATACCTTGGAAGAGCACACACCAAGTTTCAGCGAGATCGGCCAATTACTTTGCTTTTTACATTCGTTTCAATCAAAGAAATCGAGTAGTTGTAAAAAATGGACGAAAAAAAATTTCGTGTATTGATTAAACATTACTTTTTCAAAGGCAAAACGCCTGAGGAGATTAAACAGAGGCTTGATAAACATTATGGTGATTGTGCACCTTCGATTAGAATGGTTTATAAGTGGTTTCAAAAGTTTCGGAGTGGCCATATGAGCACAAAAGACGCTGAACGTTCTGGACGCCCCGTTGAGGTTACCACTTCAGAAATCATTGATAAAATCCATGATATGGTGATGGCTGACAGAAGAGTGAAGGTGCGTGAGATTGCTAGTACTGTAGGCATCTCGAGCGAACGGGTACATAATATTCTGCACCAACATTTGGACATGAAAAAGCTATTCGCTAGATGGGTGCCGCGATTGCTCTCGGTTGACTAAAAACGAGATCGTGTGAACTGTTGCAAGAATGGTTTGCAGCCGGGAAGGTTATAGCGACTGTCTTTTGGGATTCGCAAGGAATAATCTTCATCGACTATCTGGAAAAGGGTAAAACCATTACAGGCGAATATTATTCATCGTTTTTGGATCGTTTGAAAACCGAGTTGCTAGAGAAACGTCCACGATTGGCCCACAAAAAAGTCCTCTTCCACCACGACAATGCGCCAGCTCACGCCTCAGCAGTTGTGACCGCAAAACTAATGGAGATAGGGTTCCAACTCGTTTCACATTCCCTCTATTCTCCAGACTTGGCTCCGTCGGACTACTATTTATTCTCTAATATGAAAAAATAGCTGGTGGGGAAAAGATTTTATTCAAACGAGTAGGTGATTACAGATACGAATGCCTATTTTACAGACTTGGACAAATCCTAATATTTGGAAGGGATTAACAAACTAGAGCAGCGTTGGACGAAGTGTATAAGCCTAAAAAGAGGCTATGTTGAAAAATAAAAGTTTTATTAAAAAAAATCATGCAGTTTTTATTTTTGCACGGACTTTTTAAACGACCCTCGTATATAATGAAATTTTCTGAAAAGACTTTTCAAACGCGTTCCGGTAGTTCCTGTACATGAATTTTTAACTGAGATCTATCTTTAAAATTTGTTTGGGTTGACAAAAGTAATTGATCGACACTGTAAATGCTACTGAAAGGGCCATTATGGCAACAGTAATTGTAACATATGAAGCTATTGTTTCTCTTAGAAAAATAGTACTATGATTCACTTGAATATTTATACCTATAACCCCTGAGTTATGCTTCAAATACGTGCCCCTATGAGATCTCGTAATCAATCATATAAGTATGCCAAATCAACTCATGACGTTGGTGACTTTGCCAAATATAAAAGATTATATTTAAAGATAGATAATAAACTATAAAAATAGGAATACATTAAAGGCGAACTTCATTCTACAAATAGTACTAGAGATCAATGGCGACAGCTTTATATACCATACGAATAGGTAAAAACATCCATACCTAACAGCTTTCAACTTCAAATTCGTCTTAACAACTCAAAATTTACTTTACTTCAAAAAATTGGTTTTGAAGAGTAAGATATTAATTTGAGACACCGAAACTTATTTTAAAAACGAAAAATAATTCCATATATAATTTATCTCTTATTATCGCAAAAAACGTATTTTTTACCCCTTTTAGATTCTACAAAATCATAATGTTGTTTAGTTTAAGTCTTTTAATCTGAAACTACAATATTTTCAAAATTTATTCAAAATGTCAAAATTAAATGAAGAATAAAAGAAATAAATTATATAGCCACTAAAGTAGCTTCTGTGAATAAACGGTTAAAAAATGAATGAGTGAAGAAAAATTACTGCAGTGATTTTCATGTGAAAGGTCGAATTTTAGTCATTTTCACGCTGTTGCTTCTCACCTTACAAGTAAAAATATTTCCAAAAGTTTCATCTAAATTATGCTCAGAACAGATCATTCTATTGAATAATTATTCTATTGAAATTATAATATACTAAAATATTGTATTTTAATATGTTATAAAGCTTTAATCAATCAAAACTATGATTAAATTAATTTATCAATTCAAAAATGGATCTATCTTTTTTATTTTACTTACTGCATATGATGAGTAAAGCCATTCCGGTAGAAAAATTTCATGGTACAATAACTGTTTCGTTACAGCTTTGTGTAACTCACTATTACCTATTTCTTCGTATTGTAAAATAAAATACTGTAAAAGTTTCCATGATATGTTCATAGAACTTGAAGTTAACAAATTATAACCTGTAAAATTTAAATTTTTACAATAAAAACTTTCAAACCAAATAAATATTACATTTACTAGATTTTATTTTGATATTAATGCCAATGTTTGATAAAAGGAAAAGAATAACCCACTTTTAGTATTGTAAGAATATCTCTTCATATCAGACGATATTCTATGAGTGCACAAATGGAAATTTTCGCCAATCTAACCTTTCTGATGCGTATATGTAGATCTTAAAAGTAGTTAGTTTTTGTTGCATTTGAAGCTTTGAAATGAGAGAAACGAATCTTGTTACAATTTTAGAATAACAAAAGTACTCTTTTTTCTAACAATCGCAAAACTATATATTTCTAGTCTATTGATATAAAACAATTATATTGATTTATCCAAAAATTATTATGTTTTGATTAGAAAAATTATTTTTTGACCATGAAGTACTTCTCCGATTCAAAAAATTCTTTTTCCATTGCATTACTTAATTATTTATCTATAAAAAACCATAATAATATTTTTGTACCGGGCAATAACAGGTCTTAATTGATGATAAAAGTTGTCGAGTCACTGCCTTGAGGTACGGCGCGGGTACAGCGTTACTGATGCAACTGATTTATGTATCTTATATTTTATATTCAATGATCTTTCGGTAGAGGCACCGCAGGGAAAAGATTAGAAAAGTCAAGAGGAAAGCGAGCGGCCGAATATAGAAGAGTGAGAAAAAATAAAAAGTTAAGATGTGTGAGAGAGAATGAGAGTGATTTTTCACTAGCTCATGTATGTGTTTAATAAGGAAAATGAGAGGAAAGGGTAGCGTCTGATGCAATCGAAGAAAAAGGCAGTAAATGATAGTCTATGAATCCGGTGATGTGCTTTTAATAATAGAAAAACGGAAAAAGTATCTATGAACTGGGCTGTCAACAAAGCTTGATCTGGGTATCGCACTGAAGCCTATTAAGTCTGAGTCGTAGAGCAGCTACGCCAGAGTAGTTCTGTGAACATTCTACTGTAGCCGAGAATTTCAGTCTTGACTTTGCGGCAATAATATCATCCTTTTTACCACCGTTAGGGATATGATGGGTAACTCTTTACTATCTCTGTGTCTCTTTCTTCCCTTTTTCAGGATATTATGATCGGCATGTTACTACACCTTACGTTGCGGATTTACGGTAGAGTTAAATCTTTGAATAAACGTACTTACCAGCAAGAGCGAAATCAGTAAGTCGCATGCTCTTTATCACATGAAATTTAATCGTTATTGAAGACGAAATGAATTTGCAAGTATGAGTTGCGTATTTTGTTGTAGATTTTACTCTTCGTTTTACATAATTTTTTCTTTTTTTTAAATAGACTTAATATTGTTATCCTTAAATAAACGTGGAATTTGTTTTAATTCTCATTTCGTATCTTAATTTCTCTTTCATTTAATAAGATCGTTAATTTAGGTACCTGATTCAAACGTATAAGTTCAAGCAGACTCATTTATGTAATTGTTAAATTGAATCCGAGGATAAAAATAGTTAAAATACGTTAAATAATTGCTCTCTTCGTATTGATCGGGTTGTAGTTATTATTATTTACTTATTTAGTAGTACATGTCTCGGTCTGTGTTGGCTATGAGCATACTTAGAGCCTTTGTTATGTGTGCTGCTTTAGACATCGTGTTACGTATGTGTGTTCAGAAGGTCAGTTTCGTATCAAGGGTCATCACTAAATATTTGACTCTACCTCTGGTCCTTATCTGTTCCGTGTTAACATTCATTGGTATAATGGTTTCGATCCATTTTCTTATGAACAGTAGCAGCTCAGTCGTTTGCAGTACCAGATACAGTTCGTGGTCCGTCATTCATGTTCTTATACGTCTTATCACCTGGTTTAGTTTTAGCTGCGCTAATAAAGTATTTAGTGCTTTTATTAAGGCCGTCACGACGTCTGTTATGCGATGAGACAGGTGTCTATAGGCATATCTAGTCTTAGTGATCCGTTGTACAGTATGTTCCAGAAGTCAGGATCCAGGGTCAAGCTCTGTGTAACTCCCGCTGTCGACTGTCTCTGTCTCGTAATATCCGTACTCTCCTATGTCAGATAGCGATCCCATAAATAGTTCTTTATACCTCCTACACAGTAAGTAGGCACGCGAAAGATTGTTGTCAACGCCTCCAATACGTTACGTCACAGACTTGGAAACATTTCGTACTTCTAGCATTGTCAAGATTACCAGTGGTCTGACTCAATGACATGCGTCATTCGTATTTTTCACTATCTGTAGTACGTTTATCATTGCTTTGATAGTGGAGTATCCTTGTCTGAAGCGTGTTGTTTATCTGACATGTTTCCAGTAGCTTGCACCGCTGCTATTAAGCTCGATCGCAGCATCAGCTTATACAATGTTTCCCGTTGAGTTCAGAAGGCTCAGGGGCCTATAGGAAGAGAACGAGATCGGGTCTCCTTTTCCTATCGGAATGAAGACCAGGCATGCGTTTTTCCAAGGTCCGCCAAACATTTTCGCTCCCAGGCAGTTATTGTAGAACTGCAGCAGCGGTCCGAGCTGTTCAGCGATCCATAGCAGCTCTTTGGATACAACATCAAGCCCTAGAGTTTTTCGAGGTTTCAGTCGAGCTGTAGTACTCTTACGTTCAATAACCGTGAAAAGTAGATACCCTGATGTCATGTTCCTGTCCACTTCCTCTGTATCGTACGTTTTATACAGGTGGATTTGGGCAAGATATCAACGATCCTCTCCATTATATCTGGACAATCCATTATATTTCTTAGACTCCGCAGGATTTCAGAAGCCAAGTTTACGTGTCACAATCTTGTATGCGTCTCCTTAGGGGTCTGTATTTACTCCGTTCTCCAGTCGTCTCCAATAACGTCGTTTAGAATCGTCGATCATCCGCCTGAGTCAGTCTCTCGCGTGTTTATATTCTGACGAGTGAACTTCCCTGTCTTGTCTGCATCTTTATCTCTGTACCTGTCTGCATAGTTGATGGCATTCTCTTCTAGTTTCAGAATTTTTTGAATCCACCAGTAAGTCTGCCGTTTGTTCTTTCTGCACCGTTTCCGTGGGATTGTCCACTTCACAGATGTACTAAAGATACTTTTCAGAATCCTTAGCACATTGCTCTGCCTTGTCTAGGTCTGTCCTCACTTGAGATAGTGCTGCAGTTGTCTCGCAAGCTCGTATTTATTTATACGGTTTGCATTATATCTAAATTTCTGCCCCACACTGGAGGTCATGTCCTTTATTGTCGCGGTACTTCCCAGTTCACTTTGTAGTACCACTGGGAACACTTGTCATCCTTTGTCCTTGTCAAGCTGCAAAAGTACCGATCCATCTTTGTTCTTCCGTATAGCTTTAATATCTACTTTGCTGTCTGTCAGATTTACGTTCTGCTGTAAAGTCTATACGGCGTCAGCGTATCTCTTTTCTTCGCCTGAGTTTTAGACTGTTTTGCGTGCCTTATGCCCTTTCGTCTCTGTCTGCATAATCCGGTTTGTATTGATCTCCGTTTCTGTAGCCGTATTTCGTTTCTTTCGATTCGTCACTGTCATCCATCTTTTACCAAGATCTCTTGTTGGTTAGGGGTTTGCGGTTTAAGCTTAGGGTTTGTCTATCCACGAATCATTTTATTTGCCGTGTCGACTGTCCGTTGTTGTTCAGTGTTCAGCTGTTGCCTCATGCGTTGGAGCTTATGCTTCGCTATCTTTATCGCTTCCTCGACCTGATTCATACAATTTGTTATTACGTGGCTAACATTTCTTTGAACATTTGTCTTCGCCTTCATTTTGACTAAGTTGCTGCGTATGGTGAATAGTTGCTCTTACAGCTTTCTGTTCACAGCCTCTTAGTTCGATGGCAGCATCCTAAGACTTCCCATCACTTTTCAACTGTTTCCTGTTGCATTATCGACCGCACGAGGCAGGTTACCTACTGGTGCGGCAAGGAAACCTACTGGTCTGCTTCCGTGATTCCTACTCATGGAACGCAAGTTACACACTTGAACTGATTTCTTTTTGTTTTTCAGCATTTTTTTTTCTTTTTCTTCTTCTCTTCTTGTTTACAAGTACGAGGTGTGTTCAAAAAGTAAGGTAACTGTATTTTTAAGAAAAAATATTTATTTATTTATCAATATTTATGTTGTCCCCTTCAAAGTAATCCCCCTCAGATACAATACACTTACGCCAACGGTTTTTCCAATCCTCAAAGCACTTCTCATAAGCACTTTTCGGTATAGCCTTGAGCTCTTCCAGAGATGCAGTCTTTATCTCTTCAATCGTTGCAAATCTCCGTCCTTTCATAGGTCTTTTTAGTTTTGAGAACAAAAAAAAAGTCACATGGGGCCAAATCCGATGAATATAGTGGCTGAGGCATGATTGTGGTGTTGTTTTTAGTCAAAAAATCTCTCACAAGCAAAGATGAGTGAGCAGGGGCATTATCGTGATGCAAAAGCCATGAATTGTTTTTCCACAATTCTGGGCGTTTTTTTCGTATTGCTTCTCGCAAACGGCGTATAACTTCAAGATAATACTGTTTATTGACCATAGAACTCTTGATGCACCACCCCATGGTAATCGAAGAAAACAGTGAGCAAAACTTTGACATTTGATCGAACTTGGCGTGCTTTTTTCGGTCTTGGCTCATCTGGGCTCTTCCATTGGGACGATTGGACTTTGGTTTCGATATCACAACCATGTACCCATGATTCGTCACCAGTTATGACCCTTTTGAGTAAATCTGGGTCGTCGTTGACGTCATTTAATAGTTCTTGAGCGATGGTCATACGACGGTTCTTTTGGTCAAAATTTAGCATTTTCGGAACAAACTTCGCTGACACACGTCTCATGCCCAAAACGTTAGAAAAAATTTCATGGCACGAGCCAAGCGATATACCAACATCCTCAGCAACTTCTCTGATAATGATTCGACGATTTTCCAGAATAATTTTCTTCACTGCTTGAACGTTTGCATCAATTGTTGACGTACTTGGGCGTCCAGAGCGAGGCTCGCCATTGGCATCTT